GGCCATGTAGCCGTCCTCCTCCTTCAGAAGTCGATCGCCAATTTTCCGGTCTTATTCGTGTTCAGAAGCAGATGACTCCTCCCACCACGTGTGGAAAAGTGATCCCTTTGACCTGAAGTTGCTATTTCAGTGTTTGTGTATGATGTCTCTGAGACTTGATATCCACATTATGGTCATCTCAGGCACACAGCTGTGGCTGTGAGCGCAGAAGCCCCGCCCACCTGATCAAATTCTATTTGTGAGTGGGAAAAAAGCAAAATCAGCTTATTTTAAACTAGTCATGCAAAGTTATTAATCCCTGAGGGCTAACTGCAGAAAAATCACACTAGCAGAAGATGGATTCAGCGCATCGCCTTCTGGCTAATTGGCCCAGCATGCTCTGGCTGCACCACTCTGCTTTCACTTAGATGGGATTCAAACCCACACCCTGGCTTACGAAGGCTGTATTAGGCCACCATGGCTGCTACCTAAGGCCCAGTATTGGGTAAATACGTTTTTTTTTAAAAACTGGGAAATATGCAGCTATTCCAGTAAAGTGCAAGAAGAAAAATACTAAGTTGAAAATCAGGAAAACAATAAATAACAATCAACCAAACACTTAAGATTTTATGTGCATTATGTATAAGTAGGCAGATGATAATACAGAAAATGTTCAAACCCTTTGGACACGCTATGGCAGTGCTCATTTTGTGTTTTCAGCACACACCACGCCGTGAGAAGTCACTTATGTTCATGTCACTGTCATTAGTGACACCAGTGTTTCTGATTCACAACAGCTGCTCTCACCAACACCATTTCCAGCTCTCCAGAACTGCACGAGGGGGAAACGGGTGAACACGAATCATTGACTTTGACCAAAAATAGATGAAATGGGCTCGGATGCAAATGCGGTGGCTGCTCTGAATAATCCAAATGGATAAAACATTCATTGCAGCAGCACTGTTTACCTCGTCGCTTTCAACACGCGCATCAGTTATACTGCAAGTGCACTCAGGGGAAAAAACATTTTTTAGAAAGTCTATATTTATTATAGACTATAGGGTATTATAGTGTTTACATTTGAATAAATAAGCGGTGTATTCAGTAATATCACACAAAGGAACAATGTTGCTGCGCATGTGTAGATTGACGCAAGCAAGTGACATTTAAAAACAATTTCTCACAGCGTTTTCTGACTCACGACAGTCACTGATCAATGTATTGCGTTCACTATTTTCTTTTTCCACACAAAATACAGTTTACTGCTCTGAGGTCATTTCGTCCCTTAAACGTTGACCCCTGCAGAAACACGAATGAGGTCGGCGGTTGTTCTCTCCCCTGAAAAACACGTAAGCCACAGTCGCTCTGTGATTGATCTCTAGTCCTGCACATGTTTATGAGACAAAGCTCGTGTTCAGACAAAGTTCAAGTTTATGTTTGTAAAGGGATGAAACAGCAGCCACGTTGTTAAATGTTATCTCCACAAGGCCGCATTTTGAGCCCTAAAACTTTTTTTGGTTTTCAGAGTTCCCTCAGTTCACTCCAGCTATACACGGGAGTGGACAATTCCCAGTTAATCTCATTACATATGTTAATATCACACAATATGATCTGGAGAACAATATATATATAATATATATATACACACATTTATAACACAGAGAACGTCTATGCAATATCACTATGTTTATATATATGTTACATCAGCTATACACTGACCTTCATAGGAGGGTGTCACAGTCAATGGAGAGCCCGCTGAGCACACTGAAACTCTGCTTCACTCTCAGCTCTGTGCGCAGCAGGCAGTCTGAGTTGAACTGGGAAGGCCGAGTTGGCCCTGATACCTTTGCCCTGTGCAAGGTGTCGCAAAGTGTAACGATTACAACACGGTGCACAAAATGTAACTGACATTAACAATGACCTTTTTAAGAGAGCTGTGGCCGAGAGTGCAGCCGAAATCGCAACAAAAATAACATAACAGTTTTATAAAGATATTTTAAACGGACAAACAGGACTGGATCTATTAAATAACATAAAGTCAGAATTACACGTGGAAAACCGGTAATTTCTTTATTTTATACATTATACATTATAGAATATATATTATAAATACAGCGAGCTTCATTCAATATTAGGAAATGTTAATTACAAAAACAATGGTGGAAAGAAAAAAAAAAGCTGTAATGTATTTTCTTTAGTCGCGTGAATGGCGAGGTAGGGGCGGGCGTTTCTACACTTTTAGCCAATAGCGTCGTCAGGAGGCCTTGGTTGACGTAAACCTCAACCAATGGTTGAAGCGGGCAGCTGGACGAGCGCGACTACTGTTTGTTTTTTTCTCTCAACGTGTTAGCAGAATATTTGTGGATTTAACGGGAATTTTTTTTTCTTTTTTTGGTTAATAACGCAACCAAACCGAGCAAGGGGACAACCGCTGGTTTACCGAGTTGGAGTTTATAGGAAGATTTTCTTCACTGTGTGGTTTTCTTCTCACACCCAGGACCGGAAAAGAGCATTTTACCCCTCAAGACAGCTGGCTTGCGGCCCCCCCGCACCGATTTGCGCTTGAAGTTGAGTGGTGAGTGTTGGTGCGATAAAGGGGAAGCTACCTGTTTGCTTCATATCAAGAAATATAAAAAGAAAGCTAAACATGAAACAATATTAACCTTACGTGGTTAATTTTTTT